AACACCAATTAAAAGGTTTAACCCTTTAAGTGATAACCCTGATGCACCCTATTTTTATCTATTTATTATATTTACACTCTGTCTGACACCGGATGGTTTTACTCAAATCTTCAAGGAGAGAGTGCTGCTACTCAACAGGTTAAGAACACTAAAGGATTCTTAAAAAGATGTTTTAAATATTAAACTTTAATCATTGAATGCCAGTGCTCCCCCCTTGACAAGTAAAATTGTCTGCCATTAAACAGAAAGAAATAACAAAGTAGATACATGTACAGTGAATGGATATAGTAAACTATTTAAGTCAAACCTGTATTAAGTGGCACAGCACTAAGCGGTCATGCTTTATCAAGAGGTCATTGGTAGTCCCAAAATTTTCATAATGTGACCTTTATTAGATGGTCACCTCTGTTAAGCAGACATCGTCACCTTTTGCTTAGTCCCAACCATAATTTTTCACTGTTTTGTACTGGATTAAATCGTCGCCAGTAAGACTGGAATCTAGTGATGCATTGCAAAATTTGCCCATTTTAATGGACATCTTGAAAGAGCTTTTGTAAGCTATCAAAGCTAGGTTATTGATGTTGAGTCAAACCAAGCAGTCAAACTTAGTACAGTTCTAGTCATTTTGTATTTTGTTGTCATGTTCAGGTCTTGTTTTTATTAAGAATATGAGTTGTACTTGGATCTGCCTTGGGTGTCACCCTGTATAATAAGGGGTCGCCCGAAGGGTGACCGCTCAATACAGGTTCGACTGTTGTGGGAATTTTAGTTACCTTTCCTTCAAATTGAAAGCAGTTTGATACATTGTGTTTCTCATCATTCTTCAATGGTGGTCCCAACCAGTTTTGTTGGACAACCAATTGTAAACATGCAATGCCAAGTAATAGAATATGAAGTTGCCTAGAAATATATAAATTCTCCTTCCAATATACTGTAAGATCAATTTGGTTTTTAACAAAGGAGATTGCTAATTCTCACCTTATATAACAGTCTATAATTGAGTCAGTTGATAACTGCTTTGATATTTGTTCTTTTATAAATGAACCATAATCTACAATTGGCAAAATGCAATACAAATTTAATAGTCAATTGAATTGTACATGTTCAATTCTCATGATGAAAATTCACAAGATTAACTCTTTACTGTAAGTGGCATGCAATGTGCCCTGATGCATCCTACTTTATTATTTTACGCCAGACAATTACTAAATGCCAGATTATTTTACTCATCAAGGGGAGAGTGTTGCCAATGGGTTAATCAGACTATATATCTGCATCGCCTGTTAATACAAATAATTACATACTTGCCATGTGCACAAGGCAAGTTATGTGAACTGTATAATTAAATTAATCACCTGATTTAATTTCAATATCCAAGCCTAATATACACTTTGCAAATGTTCCATTAAAAATTGTTTGATAATCTCCATCAGGTAAAAATCTTAGTATCGTTTTAATCTCATCTAAAAATAAAAGAATTTTAAGAAGTCATAAATACTGTACATGTTTAATGAAAGGATTTTGTCACACAGTCATTGTTGAAATGCATTTGCTGTGTGTTTGATTACCAGTTTGGAAAGTCTGTTGTGTGAGGGTGATTAATCTCCCTC